AACTTTCCAAGAGAGAATACTTTCAATCCAACTTTTATCATCTGGACCATCCTCTTCACAGTTCCATTTGACTGAGGATAGTATAGGGGTGTAGGGCCCTCAATTTTCCATTTCAAATTTTCCTTCATTCCATTTTCACTTTTGGTAAATTCTGTTTTTTTCCATTTTTACTTTTGAGAAATTTCATTTTTCCATTTTTATAGAATTTTATGAGAAATTTTCAATACATTATGCTATAATTATTATTAAAACTGAAAAAAATATAATTCAAATTTTCATTGCATATAATGAAATAGAAAATATCTACAAATCTTTTTTTCAAATATTAAAATCCAAGTCCAAAAATAAATTATATGTAAAAATAAAAATAATGTAAAATGACTAGACAATAAAACAATAGAATATTACAGTGCAGAATTTTTGATGTAGAACTTTTAATCAGAGCTTCTTTCTTTAAGAACATATTCATATTATTTTTGTTTTTTTAATTAAAAGTATTTAGATTGATTTATTGATTCATAATATAAAAATCACATTTAAAGTGTCAACAGCAAATAACTTGAATCTCAATAATAACTATATATATTACTATACATAGTCTCAAAATCAAATGCCTAAAACTTAAACGTCCACCTCAAAATTCTGGACAACGTGACTTTAGGCAACTCTTTCATCAGGTTGAAAATGAACTCTAAAGGTTTGTGGTTTGACTTTAGTAGAAATTTCTTACCCAATAACAAATTGCATGCTCTTTCAGTACTCCAGATAATTGCCAGTGCTTCTTTTTCAATGTTAGAATAATTCATTTTCACTGCCTTCAATTTTCTGGACAAATACATAATAGGATGTCCCTCTTTCTTACTTTTTGGTGTACTTATTTCTAACTAGCAGTAGATACCCGGTGTTGCCCGGGGATGTAACAGTAAGAGATAGATCAAGTATCGACCATCATAAAGACTAAAAAATAAAATTGACACAAAGATTATTGTTTATGGTTGACAGACACGCATGTCTTAATTAGTTTTTTTTTTTTGTTTTTTTTTTTGTTTTGTTTTTTTTTTATGAATTGGTCAAACTCAAACAAAAACATTGTTTTCAATCGTTATGAGTCTACCGATTGAATAGAATTTTATTATAAACAACTGTCTTTTAAATGGAATTTTTAAAGCATTCTGAATGTAAAAATAAAGAAAATGTGTGCAAGACAATAAGAAACACTACCTGCCAAAAAAAAAAAAAAAAGTGAAGTTTTGTTGAAATCGGTTGAAAAATGTAGGAAATCCGATCCCATATATAAATGAACACACACACACACAAACAAACAACCTGGGTTTTATAATAAGTATAACTCGATATGAGTTGTCCCCCTTTCATTCTCGTGATGCCTCTTAATTGTATTTTCAAATTGATTTTGTGCAAAAACAATTGTGTTTTTCCAATTTTTGGCACTCAGAACCACCGCAAGGTAATTTTACGTAGTCCTGTGAAGTTTTGTTGAAATTGGTTGAAAAATGTATGAAATCCGACCCTTATATAAACGTACAGACACACACACACAGACACACACACACACACACACACACACACAACCTGGGTTTTATAATAAGTATGATATTTTTCTAATAAGTCATTTGGTGATAGCCTAAGTATGAAATTTTCTCAATTAAATTTACACTTATCTCAATTGTCATGCCTGTATTACTCAATCTGCTCAGAACTTGTTCTGTTTTATTCTTTAGCTTTCCTCAGTATGAGTGTCAATACCTGTCATCCTTATAGACAATGATGTTTTTTGCTCCTTCCAAAACTTTCTCAATAGCCTTTTGGAATATGTGGCTGTATGTTTTAATTCCAAACAGCAGACAAGTGCACCTTAAAAACCTAGAGAAGTGTTTATTGTGCTGACTTCTTGAAAATGGTAGTCAGTTTTAATCTGGTTATACGCAGATTCCAGATCAATTTTAGCAAAAAATTTCATGCCAGCAAATGAGACTGAAAATATACCGGTTGGCTATTCTATTTGAGCCAAACACTTGCCTCATAATCCTTTAAAAGTTCAATCTTAGGTTCTTGTAATTTCATGCAATTAACTAATTTTGAGGTGTCTATTCTTAATACATCAAACCCCAAGAGCCCATGATTTTTTATGCACTCCGCAACTATGATTGGTATTACTTTGAATCAATTCTTAGTCTCAAACATCCCCTCAAAGCATCCAAATGTTTTAATGACTGACCCATCAAATTGTTTCAATTGCAGATTGGTCCTCCTTAATTTTGGTCTTTTCATTTTCTCCCCAAAATTCTTGGGTATTAACATTACATCACTACCCGTATTCACTTGCATTATTACAGTTATTCCATTTATTTTTATCCTTTCTCTACTCTTGCACTTTTACTTCATAAATTTCCATACTCTTTTTGGCAGAGAATCTACCGTCTCCACATCTATTGGATTTTTTTCTATTTGCATACTGACTGGAAATGGTTTTTCTTCTTGCAATTAAAACACATCTTTCCAAAAGCCAGACATTTATACTTGTTCATCTCATGTTCTTTGTTGCAAAAACAACATTTACGCAAACTCTCCGTAATACTGTATTCCTCCCTGTTAATCTTAAGGGTATTAACTCTAGCTGCTGTAAAAATTCAAAACTCATTTCAATATTCATGTTCTGGACTTGAAGCTGTTACAAAATTTTGTGGTTACTTGAGATGTCATATATTTCTTCAAATAGCTTTAACTGTATTAATTCCCCTTCTATAAACATCAGTCCTGTACTCAATTTTTTGAATTTACAGTACCTCGATGCATCTTTTAGCCTGCGAACATACTGTTTAATGGTTTCATCCAGGTTTTGCCTGATTTCAAGGAACTTTGTCCTTTCAGCTATGACCAGTTTCTTTTTTGGATGTATATTTGTTTGTATGATGTTGGTAATTTTTTCAAATGTCAAGTCTTCTAACCTCTTTGGCTTGACCATTATAGAGATCTTTTGTATGGCCTCACAACCCGCTGATGCAAGAAATAAATCTGTTACTTCATTTACTCCTCCTCCTATATTTACTGTCACTCAATTTCTTGTCTTTCACCAATCTCATCCAAGTCTCAACAAACTCAGGATCCTCTAACAAGGTTAGATATCCAATCGTCAATGCCATGTTGTGTTGTATAAAGTTCTTACAAGTATGCAGTGTAGTCAAGGAAAGATAACTCACTCCTGAGTATCGAAAACCTTACCACATATACAACCTAATTTGCATATCACCACAGTAAATATAATAAATTTTGTGATAAGATAGGCTTATATGCACTTTTCTACTTCACATGAAATTTGAATTGTTAAAAGTCCATCCTATATAGAATGTTGTGGATCAGAAAACTTGAAAATTGTATTAAAATTAAAAATTAGATGCACTGAATTTTTATCTCAACATTTTGTGATTGTTGAAGTAATGTTATTTTATTCTAACTTTCACAACTCAGCTTAGCTTTAACAGCTTAAATCTATATATCTTTTTAATAATTAACTTCTGATTCTTCTATTTTCAAAGATGTATAAATATGGCTTGAGTCTCTGTTATTGTCTAATGGCTATAAATTCTTAGCAGGGCCCAAAACTGTCTATGGGTCGGTGATGGGGTCAGGGTTTGGGCTATGGTTCCATGAGAACCACCGTAGCCTCTGCCTTTTTTTTTTTTTTTTTTTAAGATCTGTTTTATGTCCATACACCATCTTTTTAATTATTTGTAAACTGGCGTTACATTGTCAGTCATAAACTAATAATATACATTGTGTATCAGCATGTCTGGTGAGTTGCATACTACACAGAAAACTGTGACAAGGTTTGAGCCCCAAAAAGACTAGTTTCAGCAGTGTTTTGCTTTTTGTACTTTTTACTTTTTCTCTACCTAACTTATATTGTCAATCATCAATTATGATAATCGGCAGGGCTGGTGCTTACTGCCCTATGCCTACAGAAGTGCTAATTTCAGTAGTGCTTATTTTTTTAAATTATAATTTTCTTTCTGAACAGTTCTTTTGAATCAATTAAGGGAATAATATATCTCAGTAAAATAGTTTTTTTTTATTCCATGATCATCCACTAAGGAGCATCTCTGATTTTTTTTTTCTAGTAAACTGCCCAGAAACTGAAATACTGTTGTTAAAACAAATTTTTAAGTCAATCATGTTTGTGTTGTGTTGGAATCTTTGTAAAACTTTTTTTTCAGTTGCAAATTTTTACATTTCCATAAAGATTAATTGCTGACACGCGTCAGCAATTAATCTTTATGGAAATATAAAAAATTTGCAACAAAACATTTTTTTTTTTTTTTTTTTTTCAGTAAAATTTAGTCATGGAAATATTAGTGATTATTGCAAAAAATAACATTTTCTCAGGTTTGTTTTTTTTTTTTTTTTTTTTAAATAAAAAACCTATTCATTATAAAAGTAAATAATAAATGGATATGTACTGAAATTTTTATTTAAATTGGGTAATTCCCTGATTTTTGGTAATTTAAAAAAAGTGCTGCTCCCCTCTCCCTAATTTTCCTTTGAGGATTTGTGGCCTCCATGTTGGGAGATTTTGAAATTGACATGTAGTACAGGGGGGGGGACTCCATATCAGAGGTGGGCGGGTCGAGACTCTAATGCTGGCCCTGATTTTGAGTCTGAATCAAATAATTTTCTGTTTCTTTTTTATTTGTTATTTTTTCCAAATAGTAGAATGCACAATGTTAATAAAGCTTTATATTGAACTTTATTTAATTAGTATAACCAAAAGTTTATAACAGATAGCAGGTTGTCTTCCTATGGTTGCTACTTCTAACCAAGTTAAAGCACAGTCTACAATTTCAATCTGTATTTATCTCTTTTTTTAAAATTCTGGCGAATGCGGTGTAGTAGAGAGTGATGTCTCTCCACAAATGATAGAACACAGAACAATACAATAGACTGATTCTTACACCAGAAATTTATTTAATTTTTTGTTTTGTTAGTGCCAATGGTCTAAAGTATCATCGAAGCAAGACCAAAGGTTGCGACTTGCCAGTCAGTGGTTATCAACTGGAGAAGAGTGATAAGTCAAGTAACAGTGAAGGAGACACTGAGGATTCAGCCACAGAAGATTTTACATCACAGGAGATGTCAGCTGATGAGTCCCACAACTACCATCAACACTTGCACATGAATGACAAAAACAGAGGTATGTTTATCCATTATAAGCAAGATCACTTATCATTGCCTGTCTTCTATCACTTCTGAAATCATTATTATCTTCTTGGCAAGAGATTTATTTTGCATGATTCATATTTCATTATTCATAAAAAAATAATTCTAAAGATTAATAAAAAGAAAAAGAATAGATGATTATTTTTTAATCTACAAACTTAATGTAAAATATTTTTACTTGCTTTTTTACTAGTCTCTACCAAATTTATTCAATGAATTAAAGAAAAAAATATATTTGCATGCACACACACACACGCACACACACAAGTTGTACGTTCTATCAATCTCTGTTGACATTAGATGCTAATCTTCAGGTTGCTCACATGTATCTTATGCCTGTCAGCACAGATTTTTATAAATGAAAAAAGCTTTCATTTTAGCTTTGAGAGCTAAGGGATTAAATTTATTATTTCCAGTAAACAAAATATTCTGGTGTATTTCAAACAGAAATTATATTGACTTGAATCAATTTTTTTTCTTTTGATAAAAACAACTGATTAGTGCCCTTAAGTCATTTTTCATTGCAATGTAATTCTCTATATTAAAAAATCTTCCAAAAATAAAATATACTTTTCTGAAACTTTGAGGAATATTAGCTGATTTAAAGCATAATTAATCTGATTTGAAACAAATATTATTTACTTTTAAGTTTAAATAACACAGAAATGTATTTTTAAAACAAAACAATAGCTGTTTTTTTTAACCAACATTGCCATGTTTTATGTAATTGATGAGGCAATGACAGGTCATGATATAATGATTATTATTCTACAGAGACTTTATTTGTTGTACCCAGTAATCTTTAAAATGTTGGAAAATATTCTCCATAAGCTAACTTTAGGAATGTTGACTTTAAATTTATTATAGCGGTCACTCTTATTTTCTGCTAATGTCCTGTATCGTCAACCATACTTTAAAAAATGGACATGTTACATTAGGTACCTTCATGAGATTGCTAAAAAGAGTATAGCATGACAAAAAAGATGCCAAACTTGACAAAAATAAAATTTAAACAATAAAGTTTTGTTTTATCGTTTAAATTTTATTTTATTATTAAAAGGAAAGATCAAAGTATTTTGGATGTATTTTTTTACATTTTTACTTGTTCCTAGCACATCCAAAATTTTCATTAAAAATCTTGTTTTTTTTAGTCAGCAAAATTGACAGATAATCAATCACATCAACCATTTTTTTTTTTCCATTTTATAAAAAAAATGACAATCTCAGTTTGAAATTCTTTTAAAAATCAATTATAATTTTTTCAAAACTTATTTTAAGAAAATCGTAAATTATAATGTTTATTTAAAATATTTTGAAACAAGCTTAACTTAGTTTCTGCACCGAAAAGATGTTTGAAAATAAAACAAAGCAGGTGATGAAAGACATTCATAGCTTACGTGAGGATAATTCCTTCTACAGATGGAGAGAAGTGAAATTATTTAGATTTAAGTGAACAAATTATTTACCTCATTATTTTTAAGGAAAACTTTCAGCGCTCTAATTTTTTTTTTTTTTTTTGTACTTAGCTTTCACATTTACATTTACGATGCTTTATGGAAAATATATTATAAAGAAATTAAAATAAGACTGTTGAGAGTGAGATTAAATTTCATAAGAAAGGTATCTAATTAATTTATAGGTACCTTTCTTAGTAAATTTTACAGAAGTGTACATAAAATACAAATTTAAATTTTGGGTCATTCCATGTCAATTCACCAGGGCGTGGCACCCACCAACACAGAATTACTTGACTTTACCATTCCAATTTTAGGGGTGTGTGTATAGTTTTCCTATTTTACCTCTAAACTAAGGCCACACAATGTCGCCGAATCTTGGTGTTTTTTAAAAATTAAAGAAAAATACTTCCATACCTTCAATATTTCTGAAATTTTGTATGTAGAGCAAATAAGAAGTGTAGAATCCAAATATTTAACTATTTCAAGCCAAACACTTGTTAGAAAATTTTATTTTACTCACCCAAATACATGACTCCAAAATCAACAACTTTTCACCTATGTAGCTTACGGTCAGTCTATCAAAAATACATCCTCTTCAATTTTCATAATATTTTTTGCCTAACATCTACAATGCCTGCTCAAGTTCACCAAAAAATTTTGTGAGGATTTTAAATCTACTTTAGAAGATATGGCCCTGCCAAGTTTAGAGTTTTTTCCTATGTATGTGCAGGATTTCTGAGAAAGATTATAATTAAAGACAATCATCCAAATGCTTCATGACCTCTAAAATGTTGATATTGTGCTAAGTAACAATAAGATTGGTTTTATTAATTAAAAAAAAAAAAATTATTTAAATATATTTTGCAGATATTACTTTTTGTACAGATAGATTGTCTTTAAAAAGCAGTAAACATTGTCTCATGTATGATAATCAAGTGCATAGAAAATTTGTAAATGGCACTTAACAAATGAAGTTAAAAGAAATTCTTTCTGTTCGTGTTTCTTTTAATTTTATTTTGGTAAATTATTTTCATGAAACTAAAAACCATTTGATTTTTTTCATTCTGAAAAAGTCATAAGATAAATATGAATTATACACCCCCCCCCTTAAAATTGGAGTGGTAAAGTCTAGTGCAAAATAATTTGGCACACTTTCCTAACTCATGAAGGGGAACATTTGTGCCAGATTTCAAGTAATTCAGTGTCGGTGGGTGCAGATTTCGACTTTTTGCTGGTGTTTTGACATGGAATGACCCTTTCATAAGATGATAGGATAGTTGTAGGTACCATTCTCAGTTGAAATTGATAAGTCAAATTAACTTCTCCACACGTTTCACAAAAATAAATCTATCTCAAAAGGACATTTACAAAACTGAATGCAGCTTTTAAGTAATTTTATAATATTTTAGCAACTTGAATGTAAAAATCTATTATAATTAAAGAAATAAATAATTGTATTAAACATTCAGTATTTAAGTGAAATACTAGACAGAAACTCAATCCACATGACATTTTTTTTTATTGCATGCATGATACTTCTGGTTTTCCATAGATTTGATTTACAGTCTTATTATTGACACAAATTATATTTTTTTATATACTGTTGTTCGTTAGTTTGTAAGAAGCTTTGGAAATTATAATCTGTAAATATATATCTACTTAATAACAATATTCATTAAATTTTACAAACTTTTCCCTAATTTTAAAAGAATTAACAACATGTAATGTAAAAATAATAAAATATTTCAGAAATAAGAAATAATTGTTTTAAAAATTCATTTTTCATTGACAATATTGTCCATGTTCATTAAAATAAATAAAAGCAATTAAAAGCTTTTGAAATTAAATAATATTTTTGTTTTATTGAGTTTTGTATGTTACAATTCAGAGATGATTTTCAGGTTGAGGTGGTTCAACTAAAAAAGAAACAAAAACATGATTTAGTTTCCTTAAAGCCTTATGCTTTTAACTAATATATTCACTAATCTTCCCAAAATTGAAATTATAGAGTTTTCATAGAATTAGTTATGGGGGGTTGGGGGTGATACATATGGAACAAAACTATTTTTGCCCTGACTTTAAAAAGGAAAACATATTTATAATAAGTTCAATCATTTGTGAACAGTTTCTGAAAGTTTCATTAAAATCCAACAATTATTTTTATTCTTGCAAGATTTTCAAAATTAATGTCTGTCATACAGAAAAAAAATGCACTAAAATTTTGTTATTTTACTCGTTCCGGTGATACAAAGAGAAACAAGATTTTTTTTGTTTTTTTTTAATCAAAATTTAGAATGTTCTAAAAAGAAGGAAAAACTTTAAAAAATAATTAAAACATACTTTGATCTTTCCTCTTAATAATAACATAAACATTTAGATGCTAAAATTTTGTTTTTGTCAAGTTTGGTGTCTTTTTCATCTTGCTATGCTCTGTTTTTATGTTACATAATATTTTATATACATAAAAAAAACTTTTAAAAATCTAATAGTTGATTGCTATTTAACAACTTATTTTAAAGGTGTATATGAAAATTTCTCAAAAGTTTTATTCAGAAAATTGAAATTTTTTTTGTTTCCATTGCAATTACAAATTTGAAATTGATTATTAATATATAAAAAATGATTTGTTCTGAAATTGTTTAAAATTGAAACTAAAACTTGCTGGTGACAATGCAAATTAATCTTTTAAATGAAAACGGTTTTAAAATTACATAACTTTCAATAATGTTAACATAATTTATTCCTTTTTTTCTATAGTTACTTAGCTTAGTATATATCAATTCAGATAAATAGAATATTCCTTTTTTGTGAATAACACATTTTTTGCTCAAATTCCTTTAAAATTGAACAGTTTACTCTTAATTAAAAGTATATCAGTATATGAAAATAATCTAGTTGTATTTAACTGACAAACTAGGTTTTCTTTCAAATGTAAAATATTCAAAATTTGAAGACTATTATAGAAACAAAATATAAAAATGCTGTTTTTGTTTTTTTACAAAGAAAAAGTATTTAAGAATGAGCACAATTTTGAAGAACTGTATCACCACATTAATACTTTTTTGTTACACCTTTTGAATTTACTATTCCTTTCATTTATTGTGGTATAAAATTAGTGTATGACAATCCTCTGGTGTCACCAATGCCCACACTTCAGTAATGTCTCACTTCAATTCATTGAGATTTGATGGATTTGATTTTCTTAATCTCCTCTTGAGGATTCTCCATAAATTTTCTATTGGATTTGCATCTAGACTATTTGCAGTTCAATCAAGAATAGTTATCCTCTTCTCTCTAAACCATTCTTTTTGTAGATGTTGCTGCATAGAATAGAGCAAGGTAATATTGAAAAATATATTCATTGTCTCCAAACTGGTTCTTGATATATAGGATAAGGAAATAATCTAAGGCATCCTGATAAATAGTATTATTAACCAACCTTTTCAAGAAACAGATCTTTCTGAAACAGGTGACAAACATACAACCCTTAAATCATCACAGATTGAGTGAATTTTGCACTCTTTATGCACTTGCCTTTGCATCTCATATGACTTTCTACAGACAGAGGAAAATACATCATTTTAATTAATTACTAGAAATGACCTGGTCAACAGACCAACTTTAATTACTAGAAATGACCTGATCAACAGACCAACTTTGTTCTCTAGCCCAGATTAAACATTTCTGTGCCTTCTTAAAATTAGTAGTTTTGAAATTGGTATCCCACTGTAATATCCAAATTGATGGAGTCTCTGAAGAACTTGAGATCAAGAAATAGCTAAACCAGCATCATTCCAGGCTTTGGAAATTTCACCACAATTGACAAATTGATTGGAAATTGTTCATATCTAGCTGTTGTCCTGGAACTTATCTTTGAGACAACAGACTGAGAATATCCCACCTCAACAGCTATCTCACTTTGAGATTTTCCAACTTTTTACAATCTGTGAACAACATCTTTTTTGTGTCTTTGATATTTCCTTAACTCTTGCCTTTTAAGATACTAGGCAACAATATGCTGCACACTGAAGATTCCACTCTTTTTATACCAATACTTTGACACTGAAAATACTCATGAAATGACCTCATATGTTAATGATTAACTAAAATTCAATTTTCAAGTAGGAAATGTCAGATTATTTACATGAATTGTATTGATATACAGGTCACAGCTGTTTGAGGCTTCCTACAGACCCACTGAACTTAAATAAAGTCAATTCAGGTTTCCTATGGTAAAAATTTTCTTTCCCAAGTGAAAATCATCACAAAAATAGCAAAAGTCATTTTGTCACAGCTTATTTTCTCTCAAAATATGGGTTTTCATACTTTTTTAGGGGTAAAATATTGAGAAATGACTGTTTTATCATCACCTAAACTAATATCAAGGGAACTTTTGATCTGAACCCCATGAAACTAGGTATTTTCTGAAAGCAAAAGATATATTCTTTCATTTAAAAGTAAAATTAGCTGGTGTAAATGACTCAAAATTTTTTTCAGTGGGTAAAATGTGAAAAAATAGTGAAAATTTTGCATTTTTTTCTTGTTCTAAACAAATATTTCCCCCATTAATGGGAAATTAATCTTTTTTTTTTCTTTTTTTGAAAATCAGAAAGCCTAAATCATAATAAAACTATTTCAGGCATAAAATTGAGAGTTTTGAAGGAAATCAACATTCCTAGAGGTTCAAAATGCAACAAAATCCATTGGTAATTTTCAATTATATGACTGCCAAGGGTTAAAAAAATTGACACCTGGCCACGGAAATCTTTAGTAAAAGGCAAGAGATTTATCTGCAATTCCTAACCACCAGAAACCAAAAGTTTTTTTTTTCCCTAAAAATAGCGATAAGGGAAAATAAACCTAATTGACTTTGACGTCTAGGTCAAAGGCCAGCCAGCAATAAACGGATGGCAAACCTTAGAACAAGTTGTAATAAAACCCACCACTCCCAGATAAAAGCAAAGAGTGAAAAAAAAAAAAAGGGTTCACAATTACTAGGGCTTCATACAACCTATGTTTGAACAATGGCTTGATGAGTTTACTTTTGTTTTGTTTTTAACACCCCGTGACCCGGGTGATGACAACAACACTTAGCAGCGGACATTGTGTTTTTTCACCGCATATCTTTCCTATTTCCCATCGCCGGTCCATTTAGCCTTTCTTTTTATTCAATGATGTTCATGCCAAATGAAAGAGAAAGGAATGAATTTTGAATGATGTTATTTTGAAGCGAAAATAAATATTTTTTCATAAAAAAAAGGGGATTTTTCTCAGAAAATTGGGCATAATTTCTTAATGCTAACCGCCGAGTGACATTTTCCACAGCCAAATCAAAGATTAATTACCAGTGAATAATTCCATGTGCAAAAAATAGCTGTCTGGATCCTATAAGGTCGCCCTAAAAGGTCCAGAAGTTTACTAATTGATCGAAAACCTGTTGCGCATAATTGTATTTTTCACGGTCAGTTTGCATTATTTCATCTTGATATTACCATTTTCGGACAGCCAAGTCATCAAGGATTCAGGAAAACACTTTGGCATAGGTTTTCTTTAAGAACTTTACATTCTATGAGGTGTTTAAAATGTTACTAACGAATGAGATTTTTTGCCAAATATTTCGTTTACGCGCCATGTTGGATTTTCCTATATGACAAAAACAAGGGTTTTAAACAGCTGTGAGGTAAGATTAAATTATCCAATTTTAAACAAATTCAAGCAAGAAATATAAAAACTATTTGCAAAAAGCATATTTCATTTTTTTTAATCATATTTTTTTACATTTAATAGTGGGCAATTCATTTTTGGCTGACTCATTCTTACAGTTTAAGTGACTTATTGAATTGTATTTGAATCTATTTTGCCAGAAAACTGTGATTCTGTGAACCTCACTGAAACGAGTGATGATCTGTGTGCCATTAAGAGCAAACCACTACCTTTGCTGTTGTCAACATTTAGTGAAAGTACAGTGGTAGCTACTCCTAGTACCACATCTTGGGCTTTAATGGATGATGGTTGTACCAGTGATGTCAATAAACTGCAGCAATTGGCAATTATTGCAACAGGGCCAGAAAGTCCACTTCTCAAGCCTGAAACAAACCTGAATCATAAACGAGTTTGGTAAGTTATGATTTTTACTTATTGTTTACTTTTTTAAACTTAGTACTTTATTTCCTTTAGTCAAGGACACACACCCATATTTTGAATTGCAAATCTTTGGGGAAGAAAAAATAAGAATGTAGCCTTCAGCATTTAAGGTGCAGGATAAATTTTCAAAACTTATATTGGGGAAAAAATATGGTCTTTGATTCTGTGAAATATAACACTTTTTAAGTACAATGCATAATTTTGACATATTTATCATGATTAAATTAAGAAAATTGAATATCTGAAAAAAAGAGTAAAATATAATTGAAAAATATATTGAAATATTTTAGGAATCCTTATAAAAATATGGTTTGTGTGATAATAATAAGAAGGCATAAACTTTTTTTCTTTTTTAAGAACTAGTAAGAAACATCATACTCTAATGTAATTGTAATTTAACCTATCAGGTGAATGATTGATGTTTAGATCTTCATACTGGGTTTGAGGGCAAATTTCCATTTACTGGATCAGTAACAGGGGCTGTGTCACTTGATAAGACAGGTAAACCTTTTAAAGATACAGATGTTGATTCAAGTGGGTAATTAGAAAAGTGTAAATTTAGTGGATTTTCTGAATCAACATTCATTGGTTTTTCAGTATGGGCTAGATGTTTTACTAAGACTATAGTTTCCTTAACCTCTGGCTAACAGAACCTGGAGTAGTTCAACTTTATCAACCAGAGGATCAGTTTTACTTGAGCATACATGTCTCCTATCAACACAGGAACCAGCTCACATAATGAAGATAGTTTAGAAGTTTCTGAAGAACAACTGGAAAAGTTAAAGTCTTTCATGGGAATGACATTTGTTTCTATATACAATAAGGATCTGATAGAATGAAGCACATTTAGTAATGCTGAATTTGTAGACCACAGATTTTTAAAGACATTATTATTGCCGTTCAAATAATCACATCGTATCTTTCAACCTGAGCATTACCTTGTGGATTGTCGCTTGTAGTTCTACTGCACAAAATTCCCTTACTAATAAGTCTTTGATATCTTTTCTTATAGAAGAGTTCCCCAATCAGATTGTATATACACCAGTATAACATATCTAACATAGACATTTTATGATTGTCATGGTAGTCATGTCAGCATATGGATAAATGAAGTGAAATCTTGAGTACTCATGAACAATGCTCAAGAAATACTTATTTTTGTTAGTATTTACTTGGGAGAGGACCTTTTAAAGATCAGTATTTAGCCTCTCAAAAGGTTGAGTGGGACTAGTAACACAAAATTTCAGTTTACACTTTTTGGACCTTACAAAATGGTAAAATTGGAAGAGGTAAATCCAGTAACAGTCGAAGCCAGTTATATCAGCTCTTTTTTTGCAATTTTCTACCTCATACTTTAAAATTTAAATTTTCTTTATTGAAAAGACACTCTTATTTTTATTGTATGTGAGGTTTTTTGTTCTCTATAGGTTCAAGAAATTTCTTCAAATTTACATCATGTTCCTTTTGTGTAATTCCACATACAGCAATATTACCTAGATAGGAAAATGTTCCTTCCAATCTTTCTATAATAAATGTCTCCATAACCTATTGAAAACAAACAACCCCATTTGTAACCCCAAAAGATTACCACATACTTCAAACATCATATAGGGCTTATCTTGATCTCTGATGGGCACTTGGTGGTAGGCACTGCAAAGATCTACAATGTTGAAAACCCGATACTGGGCAATTTTATTTATAGTCTTGTCAATACATGGAAGAAAGCTATGAAGTAGTGTAAATTTGTTAATTGATTCTGAATAGTTAATAGCAAGTATTGTTTTCCATGGTTCCTCTTTGATACAAACTACTTGAGCTGGCCACAGTGAATTACTGACCTCTCTGATACCCTCCCCAAGGGATTCGAGTTTCTTGTTTGATAAATTTACATTCATTGACAGAGTATCACTGCAATTTAGCAGCAATTGGATGACACTTCGACTTTAAATTTGAAAATAATGTTGGTGGTTGAACACATGTTACAAGAGGATAGGGGTAGTTTTCCACCCTATGACAATGTTACGTTATCATGAAGCTTTTGGAAATCCTATCTACATCTGTACAATTCTCTGGCAATATCCCCAAGTGAACTCTATAGTCACATCCATTCACTTGGAGGTTTTCCTGGCAATATCCTGTACTTTCAACCAAAGGTGAGGCTGAAACCATTGAAATAGTTTTATTAGAATGATAAACCTTCAAAGAATAGCGTTCAACCACTCTCGGATGAATGTAGATTCCAGTACTACCACCATCAATTAAACTATCCATCTCCCTTCCATTCAAAGAAACATTTGTAATTGCCTTCATCGATAAACTTGGTGAGACAGCCAAAACATTGTTAGCAGATATAGTTGAGGATCTTGTAGGGGCACTAGAATGACACACATATGCATAGTGTCCTACAATTTTGAAGGAAAAATTATTACCAGCAATACATTTTTTTTCTTTTTAAAATATTATCAGCTATATATTTTTTAAAAAAATATTACCAGCAATACATTTTTGAAGAAAAAAACATTACCTGCAATAGATTTTTGAAGAAAAAATATTACCAGAAACATTTTTGAAAAAAAAAAAAATTGCAAGCAATAAAAAATTTTGTCAGCATTAAATAACCCATTGAGGTTCATATGCCATAAAACAAAACAAAACAAATCCTGGGGGAGACAAAATTTGTCTATGTCACTGCTTGATATGAATAAAAGAGAATTTTGAAAGAGTTTGAACCAATGTACCCCTATCTTGTTTAGAACTTACTGAACTGGGATCACAATGAAGCCTCTCTGGTTCCATGATTCTTAAAAAGGGTTGCCATTGGTTCAAAGTACAGATCCTCTGAATACTTTTATGTTGAATAAATTGTGATAATAAAGGAGACACAAACCTTGCTCTAAAACTTTATTCAACATAAAGTGTAACACCATTAGAACAAATGGTGTTAGTAGAGCAAAGTGAAAATGTTAGGAAAGACCATTTCTTAAATATCCAAATAACATGGTGTCTAAATGAGACAGTTAATTTGAATAAAACAGTCCAACTACACAATAGTCAGTTATAATGATTCAAATTTATCAATTACTCTTCTTCCTTATTTGTGCAAGAAGTTTTCATTTATTTTGTTGGCATCACTGTGCTCCTCATTACTCTCAGTTATAAGAGATGAAAATTATTTAAAAGTGGCATTATTGCAGGTAGATCTCAGCAGTGGATCATAGGAAATATCTCCATGTAACTGTCTTATAAAACAAAAATCTTAGTTCATATTCTGATAAAGAATCTTTTATAATTGCAGTCAATCTACTGATTGCAAAAGTCTGTAGTCTTTATCGTATCGCAACAACAGCCATTAGGTAAAGTTATTTTTATGGAAGTTAAGATACTAGCTTTTTTTGCTTGATGGTTCTGTTTAGGGAATTTATTACTTGTTACTTTGAAATTAACTTTAGTAATGTATTGAATATTCAAATGGTGTACACACTCTACTTGCTATAACAGATCAAGGACAAGCAATTAACTGAGGATTAAATTTTTTCTTTTCAATCATAAAACAATTTGGTGTATTTAGATTGTACATTTAATGTTTGTGTGTGTGGTTTTTTTTTGTTTTTTTTTTTCTATTCTTTATCTTTTATTTCAGCTCTGATGGAAGTGATCCTCAAGTGACCTCTTCATCTCCTTGCCCAACATCAACAAAAGAACCCTGTAAAGAAAGTGGTACATGGTCACATACTTGGCCAACAACTGTCTGGCAGTGTTTCATGAAAGGTTGGATCTTATTTTGGGTTTTCTGCCATAAATACTAACTGTAATGTTTATTCTGATATTATTAAATTTTTTTTTTTTTTTTTTTACAAACATACAAAAGCCATATAAAATGAAACTGAGGAAGGCGGGGTGTAAATTAGATAATTTTGTGAAAAATAGATAATTTTTACAGCTGTTTAATTACACCCATAAACTATAGGTGATCTAGACTACTTTGAAGAGCTGTTATGAACTGGTAACACTTGTTATATGTGGTTATCTCATATTTCATCTTCAGGTCAAGAAAGCTTGACATTCCATGACATGCCGCTTCCATTCATTCCTGTCATTCATTGCATTTGGAAGCTCATCCAGTCAGCATCCCGTGTCTTCAATCAGATACTCAATGTACATCTTTAATCAACCTTGTGTTCTTTTTCCATGTGAAGGAAAAAGAACACAAGGTCTCATATCTTTTAGATGAAAAACATCATAAAAAAAGTTTTCTGTAATAGTTATAGCAGAAAAATGTGCATAAAATTATTAGACATAACTATTTTATATATCAATATGAACTTTACTGTTTTAATATAGAACAGTAAAGTTCATATTGATATATAAAATAGTTTTGTGTACATTTCTATTAAGTGTTAAGATAAGAATCTTTACAAATATAAACTAAAAGATTAGAATTAATAAGTGCAAACTTATATGATTGGAAAAAATAAACCCAAAGTCTCTATGCCACTTCTAAAGTAATAGGATAATTTTATTTAGTCTTAATGAAGTTTGAATACAATGGATTGATAAAACACCTCCAATGCTGTAACAAGAAAGGTTTTCATCATGAAGTGTGCCAAAATTGTTTTCATAAACTGTAAGTCAACTTACAAAATGAGTGTTTGCATGAAGTAGTAACACTAGTTATCTCTTGTAGTTTAATATGATTATGTATATTTTAAAAAAAATATATGTCCTTTAAAATATACTTGGAATATTGTAGGAGCACATTTTGTAGTATTCATTATGTGCCATGTACCTTCAGGATGTGGCTGATGATGTTGCTCCACAACTTCCTGTTTTTTTTTTCTGGCATCAATATTTACTCCCTTACAACTCCTCTATGTCTTTGTAATATTTGTTCCATTTTCTCAAACTTGTCAAATAGGTTACTCACTGTTTTCTTTTGCTTCATTTTCTTTTCATTATACCCTGTAAGCGTTAAATTCGCCAAGCCTTCTTTCATTTTCACAAAATTTTGGTTCTCTCTTTCTGATTGTTAGCAATAATCTCTTTATTGTTCTTATTCTTCTAAAATCTTCCTAGTTTCTCACCTGCTCTATCTGTAATATTCTCTACATTTGTCAGTAGAACCCTATCTCAGTTACTTTGTCTTTTCTTTATCTGTGAAGCAATTGTCCAGCATTCACTGCCGTATAGGAGATTAGACATTACATAGCAGTCCAGCCCATTTTTTTTTTTTTTTTGCTTCTAAGGACTTTTTTTATCCCTTAATATTTTGCTTACCTTCTAAAAAGCCTCTTTCCCTATTCCTATGTACCTTGAGACTACAATAGTCTCATAAGCAGATTTTTGTTGGGTACACTAGTGATGCTAAACTTGGTAGTTATCTACTTCTGGAATACTAATTTGTACAACATTAATCATCAAAAGATGGAAAATGTTATGCAAAGTGCAAAGGTACCAGCTGTTTTATGGACAATGTCAATTTTAAATGAACCTATTTTGACACCTCATAATTTCTATTTGGATATTTTAGAAACAAAGGTTTCTACCATTACTTTGTTTAGCTTTTATAGATCATTAGAAAACTTACCAAAATTAAAGATATTTGAGAAACTGCTATATATTTCATTTGTGTTTAATTGCTAAAATCAGCCTTCCTCTTTCATAAGAAAGTTTGGCTTCACTACAGATGAATGTGGGTTATTTTGAAAATTAAATTCTGAAACTTTGAGTTACATCCTTCTTCAGATAAACAATACCATACAATGAGTGGGTAACAATGAAGATTGGACTCTGAAGGAACATAGAAATATAGAAAGAGGCTTTTCAGGTGAGCAAAGTATTAAGGGATAAAGAAAAAATTGGTACTATTTTTATAGTTAAGTAACTATAGGAATTTAACATCTTATTTTTATAATTATTTGGAATTTTGACCAACATTTATTTTCTAATAAAACATTAATTTGTTCTGTATCATTTTTGCTAGTGTTTTCTCTTACAAGCTGAGAAATGAGTTGATTATTATTGGGTTTTTTTATTATTTTTTTTATTTTTATTTTTTTGTAGGAGTGCAAATTCAGTTTCCTGAAAATACTTGGCAAACTGCAGAAGAACTTGCTCGCATTGAACAACTTAGAAAATCGTCAAGTGGCAAAGAGAACAGTCAAGATGGGTAAGACAAGTAGAATATGACATAACCATTCCCTCTTTTGTAGTAGATTTGAATGGAAACTAAACTAAAAATTATTTTTTTTGAAGAACACAAGATGTAGCTACATCTTTTTATTCTCATCAACTGAACAAAATTAAGCAAGTAAAGTTTAATGATTCATTTGTCAGCTTATAATTAAACAAGATTAAGCAAAATTATTTTTGGAGATGCTATTTTTTTAAAGAGCATAATGATGGAAAAGTATTATATCACTTGAAAAATGATTTTGTGGTCAATCATTGCTTCTTGTTGGCATAGAAGGCAAAAGATTAAATGTAAAATATTCATGTTTTTTTTGGGGGGGTGTAATGATATTTGATGTAGCAATCAATCTTAGTTCATTGCAAACTCAACTATTTTTTTTTCATGGTCTTTTGAATAGACTCAACACATAGACTTTGCTATTTCTTATGGGCAGTAATAAAAATTGAAGATTACAGAAAAATGTATTCTACTAGTTCAGAAAAAGATATAGATTTTTGGAATTTGGGCCAATTTTATAAGTCAGTTGTAACACATTCAATATAAAATCACTTGAAAACTAATTGGTAGATTAGATAAAGCATGTCATTTTAAGTACATTTTAAATTATCTTTACAGTTAGATTTCAGCATATTTTCATAGTTAATACTATTTGGTTACAAATATTAAATTTGAAAATGTGTTTACACAAAATGATATATCCTACTTCATTGGCCCTCAAAAACGCTTTATAGTTAACTGAAATATGTAAGTAATTGATACAATTCATTTTCATTAAATTGTTAACTGTTTAAAGAAGATTTTCAGAAGGTTTTGGTAGGGTGTTTTCAATTTTTTTAAGATATATAAAATCTAAGAAAATATAGAGATTTAATCACAATCTGGCTAATGCCATGTTTAAAAAGTTTTCATCAAAGTTGATTCATTTGATTTTGAAAAACATCTTCATATGGTTTTATACAAAAATACTATAGATTTTGTTTTAAAATAAATTTTAACATACAACACAATCCTTGGTACAATTTAATATAATAGAATTACTTTAAAAATTGTAAAAATTCTAAAATATGATATCACCAGAATCAGTTATAAACATGGTAAAAAGTTGTGTGTGTGTATATATATATATATATATATATATATATATATATATATATATATAAAGTTGCTAAAATAGATTATTAAGAATATGAAATAAATATTTTTTGTTTAGCCTAATGAAACATGTAATATAATCCCAAGCCTGTAATCTCTTTAGATTTAATAATTCAAATATGCACCAATATTTTTTATATTGTAAATTTAGTTTCATACATTTATACATTCTCTTGGAATATATTAGCTAAAATCATTTTGCTTTTAAAAGCACAAAAGTTATAGTAAATGATGTTTTTTTTATTTTTTCATGCTCACACAGTGTGGATACTGGAATCAACACAGCACGATGCATACTCTAGATTCTAATTTTACAGCTTTATAGGAGATGTATACACAACCATTTTATATCAATATGAACTTTTAGCAGGCTTTATATGTAGTTCACTGGAGGATTAAAGAATGTAGGGCAAGTAGAAAAGTGTCCCTTCTCAATTCTTTTGTTTAAGACTAATATTTAGTGCTAGTTATGGTCATGACTTATATATAATTTATTCATTTGTTTTGGATATTTTTTCTTTTATGCATTTTTAGGAAGTTTATTAGCTTTAGGTTATGGGATTTTATTTAGTCTTTTTGGTCATGATGTGATTGTAACACAGTAGGAATTTATTTTCATATCAGCATTTGGAGAAGTTCTTTTTAGAACATGATAAACTCTGAAATAAAAGATCAGATTTCATTTCCAAAACTTAACATATCTAATATCTGTGTCTTTTGAGTTTGGTTCATTTCTGCTTTATTTTTTAATGATTACTTAAATTAAATTCCATTAAAGAGGAAGGATGGTTCTATTAGAATATTTTAAAAGTGGCCATATGTTTTTGTAGCAGAATAGTCAAAATAAAATGGTGTGGAGCAGGTGAATGATATGCAGCCAAATTTAAGACTTCAAAATAAAGCTTCCATTTGATGTAAGTCTCATGGAGTTTAAGGATTCTTCAGTTATTCAGTTTTTCTTTTCCAAATTCCTTCATACTCTCTTTTCTTTACTTGGAAGTCCCTCATTAATGTATTTCTTATTAGCTATAGAGTTAATTCTTCCACAATCATCTTTTTGTTTTTCACTACCTCAAATGATTATATTTCTCTTGATTTCAATTTCAGATTTAAAAACAATTACTTCTCCCAACAAAAATCAAAACCTTTGTCCACATTTGTAACTATAAAAATTTTTTTTAAAAGAGTAGAAAATAAACCTAAAAATTTAATTCTACAATTCTTTTAAATAATTTTTGGTATTCTTATTTTCTCTCCCCTCATTTTGTTTCTGCTGTTCAGTTATGCTGCCAAGGGTTTACGTTTGGTGCGAATGACTAAGATATTAGAAGAAGACAAAGACAGTTCAGGGAAATCATGGCATCTTCATCTTAATATGTCACCTGACCTCGACAACCAGTCTTCACTGCTTGCAAAGTGTGCACCAGACCATCCTTTCTTCGTTTTGGAGAAAGGTAAGTAAATATTGATGCCATTGTTCAAAATATGAAGGGAAAAATTAGAATTTGCAGTATCATTAAATTATATTACTTGAGCCTTTGAGAATTAATTAGTTTTCATGCTCTTGTGTTGATTTTTTTGGTTCTAATTATATTTTTTTATGAACAACCATAGAAAAATTAATTTCAAACTTCTAGAAAGTGTATTTTACAAAAGAAAAAATTGAAAAATTGAATAATTGTATCTATTCAAGTTTAAAAATATTTTATATTTGTTATGTAGAGAAGATTAAGTTTTAGATAGAAAATTGGTAAAATTTCTGAATGTTTAATAAATTCAGTGGCTATGAAGAAATCCATTAGCTTCCAACCAATTTTAACAAATCGGTTAAAGGCAGATTTATATACATCAATTTTTGTTTGATTTACTTAGTCATTATTTTTGGGAAATAAGTATACTAATTGCGTATAAAACTTGCTCCTTAATGCAAATATACTCTATATAGATCCTGGTTATTTTAAATGATCTACTCATTTCTTACATGTAAAATTCCATTGTAATAGTTATTTAGGTTTAATGTCAAGAAAAGCAAAGGCTTAAAAAGTTCATACTTAAAATCTGATGGTTTTTCAAAATCCATAGATAATAATTATTCATTTAATGATTGTATAAATTATATAGAAAAAATATAAGATGTTATTTAATTTTTTAACTATAATAACTTTATATAGTACTGTTTATTGTTAGCATATACCAGTGCTGAATAACTATTTTTAAACATTAAGATTCAGTGATTATTTGATATTTTTAATCTAAAGGTTGTATAGTTTTGGGGCTGGGTTTTGTTGTTTTTTTAACTGTTTTATTTTTTTTCTTGGCTGATTCTTAGATTTATATAATTTTGTTTGCTATTTGAACCATTGAATGTAAATGAATATTTTCAGTTAGCTATAAAACAAATTTGAGTAAATGTCTCAATGAATAACACTGATCAAGAACTTTTTTGTAATTCTGTACTGAATCATCTTTACTTGTTCTTTGGAGGTTGAAAGTAGCATTAATGGTAAAAACCTAACTTTGAAAATGTACCTGTTGAGTTTAAATGTACCTGTTGATCATATAAAGACCAATGATACATATTGGAGAAAATTATTAAAATGGTTTGAAATAGGAATGACCATCTGAAAGTTCATTTTTGATCCAAAGCTAGAAGTTAAGGTTAACATAAATTTTCATATTTCAGATCAATGAAACGATATAATATGGTGTTGTTAATTTTATTAACTTTTGAAAAAATAGTTGTCTATTTTTAATCTATGTCATAAATGAGAAATCTTCCAATCATAACTGATTACTTTTTATTGTCTGTAATTTTGAGTTGTTAATATTCCAAGCTTTATTCAGACAATTGAACGTCTATTCTTGTTGATATTACCATCTTTTGGCCAAACCATTCTATAATCTTCTTCAGTTGAATAATCCTTCTTTTTTCCTCAATAAGATGACAATAGAAAATGGTTACTAATATATCAAGTGAATCTGTTCATTCTAGCAATACAAAATACCCTGTGTATCTCTGTAGCATGATGTTTCATCAAAACATGTACATATTTTAATTAAAAATCTTATTTTATTTTTTTTAATTTGTTCTATTTTATTTAAATTATTTTTTAACAATTTCTTTTATGAGCATTTTTATATGAGTCAATCTATTTTATTTATTATACCTGCAAAAATAAAATATCTATTTTATTTACAATAAGATTTTCATGATTATTTTTAATAGTTTAAATATCTATTTATATTTAAGATGGATTTCCTAGCACTCATTGAAGCAGAAAAAGTTTTATCTGGAGTGTGAAAAAGAACTGACTTTTATGAACAAATATCAAATATTATAGTTTAAAAAAATAATATCTTTGTTAAAAGAAGGTTCATTCCTTTCATGAAAAGTTGTTTTGATGAGAGATTATGCCACAAAGATAGACAGATGATTCACTCTAACCTGTTTAACTGGAATATTCAAATTTATACACTGGTGTTCCCCAACTCTCTTATGGGTTGTGTGTGTGTGTGTGTGTGAGTGAGAGAGAGAGAGATAGAGAGAGAGTGACTGACCAACCCCCCCCCTTCTTTTATTCTTGAAATGTATTCACCTGGCTATATTCAATGGCTATAGTCTTGGCCAAAACAGAGCAACATTATCAGGACAAAAGAGGAATTCAGTTGCCTGAACAAAGTTGATTGGTAATTACTTAAGTAATTAGCACTTGTTATTAAAAAATATACATAGATAACTTCTTAATATCAACCAATTTGGCACCTTTTATCATTTTAACATTATACTGTTGATTAGTTTTGTTGATAATTTGATTTTTTTTTTTTTTTTTTTTCTTTCCTACAGGTTGGTCTTCATACTCACCAGCAGTTACAGTGGAGCACTATGGCATTCCATGTCGTAAACTGGAGGAAGATGACATTTGTCTACCTCCATCACACCATGATGCCACATTTACTCATGATGTGTTTGAAACTTTGCAACAGAGGTAGAGCTTATTTGCCTTCTCATAGTTGTCAAGAGAAAGTAAATTTTAGGATAATTTAAATGTAAAATAGTTTTCAAAGAATGATATTTACCTGCGTCCTTTTTCCTTTTAACAGATTCACAATTGTTGATCTATTAAACCCAAGGTTATGTCTTGATAAAAAAGCTTTTATATTTGCAACATTTCTATTGTCTTTGATTTCAGCCTGGATTTCACCCCTTCAGATTCATCTGCAGTGCTGGCTTTGAGCAACATGGCTAAGGTATGCAAGATATTTTTTTAGAATTCTTTTTTAAATTAAAATAGTTTTGCTACATTCATTCCAAAATTAAGAAAAACACAATTAAAAACATATTACTTGTGTTTTAGTGAAATGGCTTTTGTAAAACTTTCAATTTACTATATGGAGTAACAAATTATTTGTGTACAAAAATAATTCAAAATGATTCAAACTCATTGGAAAGAAATGGGGAAAAAACATTAATTGCTGTTTTGCTATCAAATCCACTTATTTTCTACTCTTACTTAAATTAGCAATCACAGTACAACCCCCCAAAATAATGAACGCTTGTTAAGCAAATTGACTCTGAATATTTTTTCTAGCAACGACGTGACCTTGAGCAAGAAAATCTGGAAAGACGTAACCAAGAGAACCAAGCTAAAAAACAGAATGCAATAAAGACTGATTCTCTAAAAGCCAAGCGTCCTATGAATGGATTCATGCTGTTTGCCAAAAAAAACAGACTGGAATACACTCAAATGTACCCTGGCAAAGACAACAGGTCAGTTGGTAAACATGTACAAATCTTACAACATAGTACTGTACTAAAGTGGCAATCACATATAAAAAAAAACATGTATATATTTATATTTGTATATGTAAACATTTTTATATCTGATGTGGAAGGATTGGGCTACACAATTTGATAATCTGTCCCTATTTTTAATCTTGTGTTCAAAGAACAACAAATTAATGCTATTTTTTCTTTGTATGAGTGAGGATATTTGATTTAAATGCACAGTATATTCTCATTGCACTTTAAGAATCTATTTAAATAACTTGTCTTTTCAGTCGCCATATTGGTCAAGTATTTTTATTGCAATAGAATAAGATACATATTGAGAATTTATAGTTTGTGAGGATGTTTAAAACACTGAATGAATCCCAGTCAACAGTATAGATTTGTATGATTAGTTTAACTGATAGCTGTTTAACTAAGGCCCTTTTAATATTACAACACTTTAATATACCAGGACCGAAAACAATAGTTGGCCTATTAGCTTTAATAATTTAATATTTGTGTGTTTTTAATTGTTATGCACAATTTAAATCTTTTCAGAGCAATTAGTGTGATGCTTGGAGACAGATGGAAGAAGATGAAGACAGAAGAGCGCAGTGTATTTGCTGAGGAAGCCAAGCATTTAGCTGAACAACAAAAACGAATGCACCCAGATTGCTGGAAGAGAAAATCTGTGAAAAGCTGGTGAGTTTCCATCTATAGCATTTCTATTTGGTTGAATTTTTTTTAGTTATTTGATATTTTTCATTGTTAAAGCTTTGAAGAAGCATTTTAACAATTTGCTATCTCTACTCTATGAGACTATGTAAATTATCTATTTTTTTATTTATTCTTAGAGAACCGCATGAGAAGAAATGTTTAACTCTGTTTCTCACATACCCATGATTAGTCACAAACCTGTTAAATCTGCAATAAATATCAACTGATCAACTCCATTTTCTACTGACTTGTTTGCCCAACTTTTAATTTTCAACCAAACACATTATAACCTAGTATTATAAATTATTCAAATCTGACAGATAAGGTATGATTGGAATTTTTTGTGATTTATACAAAGATATGAATATTTATCTAGAAGGCACATTTTATTCAGTTCTTTTGCTATGTATTGAAAAAAAAAAAATTGGCAATGTTTGACCATGCCCGAAAAAAAAACGGTGTGTCAAAAGGACGTTTATTCCTTGACACCACTATTACTGTATACATTTACATGATTATAAAAATATGTGAACCAAGTACAATGTGATATTTATTATTTTCCTTTTATAAAAGAATAAATTTGACAAATCTTTTTATTAAAAAATTTATAAAAAAAACATACAAAACTATCAAAATATTTAAACCAACTACAATGCAATATTTATTATTTACGATTTTATATGAAAACAAGTTTTTTATTCAGTCTCATAAATGGTGTTTCATATCTTTGGTGACAATTCTCAAAAAGAAAGAAAATAGGTTTGGGTTTTATTAAAATTCTAATGATCATTTTTTTAAAAACAATAAACAATGCCAAGGGTGTCAAAAATGTATGCAGTAATACCGGGGTCAAGGGAATAACCATCATTTTGACACACTGTTTTTTACAGGCCCGAAGGTTAAACACTGCCAAAAAATCATATTTCTTTCTATTCTTTGTTTGGCCCTGTTTATATTTTTATTGTATCTTTCAGTTCCTGACCTAGTTGTGGTAGACAAGATACAATAATATTACTTATATTTAAATAAGTTAGGCATTTTCCAATGAATAAATGTATCTTTGGAGCAATGTTTCTCAACTGGTGCACTAAAGCACCCTGAAAGGTTGCCAGGTGCATCCTAAGTTAACAGAAGAGTAAATTATTAATTATTTTTAGATTTAAAAAAATCTTTATTTTTAAAAAGCTACAGACACCAAGCACATGGCTTCCATGCCTAAGTCTTTATCATTTGATATTTTAAACTGGATATTAAATTCCTTAATCTTTAAGGAATGGATAATCCTCTTTTTTTTTTTTTTTTTTTTTTTGTCTTCCTCAGGGGATTTAATTCAGTTATTATCAACCTCTTTAAAAAACAATAGCAGATCCTTCATAAATCCTTTTAAATGAAAACTACCACTAATCTTTGGGAATGCTAGACCAAAATTTCATATTTTCAAATTTCATGACTAATTTTTCCTAATTAAAATTGCATTCCAGGATTTTAAGTTATTCTATAAGGCACCCTGAAGTAAAAAATGTTGCGAAACACTGCTATAGAGAATTGCAGTTTTAAATCTCTGGATACAATTTATGCCTAATTCAAAATATTAAATCTTTAATTTAGGATGGTGTCTATAGTCTTAGTTATTTGTTTTCTAATTAGTTTCATTATTAACATTTCAAAAATGATAATGTTTGTAAAGGATGTATGCAGAAAATATGCAAACTACACTGGCGAAAATAAGTTTACCGATGGTTAAAGTTTTATTCATTTCAGAATATGTTTCTAATAAAACAATATAAATTAGTTTTATTGTGTACGCTTTATGTAGAATTTATTTCTCTTTTGAATGATGTAAAAATTGTATATTTTTCTATGACTTGAAAAATTTTAATGCTGGATTAATTTAAATTATCCAAATTTACCAGCAAAATAAGTTCAAGACTGTATGGTTATTATGCAAATTATTTGCTAAATGGGTGATCACCTGGCTGGTCATTAATACATAATATAGTGTAATAACTGAGCATTGTTATGCAATTAATTTGCTATGGGAAAGCATTGTAGTCTTAGCCTAGTGACTAGATCGAAAATAGTGTTACTTCATCAACAAAATGTTTCCTTTATGAACATAAGCAAGCAATTAAAGTGCAACAAAACAGCTTGTGTTCAGGCTTGGAAGCTTTACCAGGATACTCGACAATATAAGGATAGGCAAAGTTTGGGAGCCCTAAGAAAAACAACAGTGCAACTAGATAGATGAATTCATAGGTTTTCTAACCAAATGCTGATGGCCATGGACATTTGCAGCCAACTATCTGGTAAAGCTGCTGTAAACTGTCTGAAACCATCTAAGAGGTTTTGGATTATTTGGGTGCATTGCTAGAAAAGAAGCCAATTGTTTCAGAGAGGAATCTACTCAAGCGGCTGAATTTCTTGAAAAGTCACATTCAATGAACAGCCAACGACTGGTATAGAGTTCTTTGGAGTGATGAGTCACGCTTTTGCATCTTTGGATTGGATGGAAAACCCTTTTGTCAGATGTTGCCCAACTGAGGAATTACATCCTAAATGTGTCAAAAAGATGTCACAAGCAAGAGGCCGGGGTGTAATGGTGTGGAGTACATTCAGTAGATTTGGTATTGGTCTAATTGTTAAAGTTGATGGAAAACTCAACAGTGTAGGCTATATGCAGCATGTTCTGCCATATTTGACTGACCAAATGTCACCTGGAGTTATTTATCAACAAGATAATAGCCCCATTCATAAAGCCAAAAAAGTAATGCAATTTTTTGATCACCATGATATGGATGTCATTAAGTGGCCTTCACAGAGTTCAGATCTTAATCCAATTGAAAATTTATGGAATTATATTTCTAAAAGAGTTTATGCTAAAAAACAACAAATTTAGACTAATTATACGATTATATTAAGCAAATATAGCAGAGCATTCCAAATGGTTTTCACTTATTCACTGCTCACTTATCAAGCTCGATGCCTAGGTGATGTGAAGCTGTAATTAATAATAAATGTTATGGCACTAAATATTGATAAATATTTTGTATTTTTTTGCTCATTTTTACTATAACGTTTTGCTTTAAATATAATAATACCCATGCAGTCTTGAATTTATTTTGCTGGCAAATCTGGATAATTTAAATTAATCCAGCATTAAAATTTTTCAAGTTATAGAAAAATATACAATTTTTACATCATTCAAAAGAGAAATAAATTCTGCATAAAGTGTACACAATAAAACTAATTTATATTGTTTTATTAGAAATGTATTCTGAAATGAATAAAATTTTAACCATCGGTCTTAAACTTATTTTTGCCAGTGTAGATAAGTTGAACATAATGAAATAAAAATCCTTTTCTCACAAATCTTATCTTTTTAAGTTGGTGCTCTGGAGAAAAGATTTGATTTGTAGCCACAGTTTTTATTTTGAGATTTATCATAATTATCTTCTAAATTAAAATCTCTTAAAATTTGAAATTGTTTAATCATCTTTAGTCTTTAATCTTTAATCATCATGTATTATCCTGCATATAATGAATTTTTTAAACAATTACACGAATATATCTTATATTTGACAATAACTGGGATTTTCACAAATCCTCCTAATTAAACTATTTTAATACATTAACAGCCTGTTAGCCCTACACTCTAGGTTAACATGTAAAGTTATTCTGGGGCTACTGTTGTATACATAAGATATCCTAGGGTTTCTATATAAATGTTATAACTTTCAATCATATAGCTATTTCCTCAAATATAACAATGTGCATTGTTTAAATTAAGATTTTTTAACAACCTTATTTATACTCTTCTGGATTTAGGAATCTTACAAGAAATTACTGTATGACTAACAATTTTTTCTAGAGTTTAATTTTTTTATGAATACTTTCTTTCTGCTCTTTATGTCTTATTATATTTACATATGCTTTCTATAGTATTATTACATCTTATTCTAAGTTTCATTGTCTTTATCTTTTCAAAATTTTCAGATTGAAACTATGTTGGTGAAATTCCCATTCTTCCATGCCAACCTGTATTAAGGCAGCTACTGATCTCAAATGTACAAGTGCCCATGTTACTGCCACAAGATGAGCTATGACTGTTCTGTCAGAAGAGTGTGAAATGTGTTTTTATTTTCCCCCTTGCCACCACTTGATCATCTAGACACAAGCTAGTATTTTGGACCAGCTGAACAGCAACAGATTTCAAATCTTGGCAATTTTGTACAGAATTAGCTTAACGGCCACACATACTACTAGTATTCTCATATTGGCTACTTAGTATTCATTCAGTTAATTTAGTATTCATTCATATGAATAACCACAACTCATTTAGCAAGAGAGCAATCACAAATTAGCTAGTAATTCTGAAACCTTTTTCAATTGATGATTATTTATATAGATATATGTGTGTATGTGTGTGTTTTCTTATCTTTACAAATTTATTTTTACTTTTCTATATTTATTTCAAAAATATTATCTTTTTCTTTTTTTTTTTTTTAAGAAAAAATATTTTTCTATGTTAAAAAAAAGAAAAGAAAAAATTCTATCAGATATTTTATAATAATTCGAAATCAAGACTTCTCTTTGCAAAAAATTCAATCATTTATTTTTTAAAAAAATTATTTTTTTAAATTTTTATTTATAATAAATAATTCAGGCGAACCTCTGTTAAGAGGGATAAGAAATTTGTTTCCCTGAAAGTAATTTTTTCCTTTGGAAATTTTTTTCCTACAGTAAGTTGTAAAATCAAGGTATTTTTAAAAAAAAAAAAAAAAAAAAAAAAGAAAGAAAATTTATTTGTGTTTTTTAACAAGACTTGGTAATTTAGAAACTGAATCTTACAGAGAAAAAGATTGCCTGCATATATAATTATGACATTTTAAAGTATTCACATTTATACAAATGCGCACTAGACACAAAATAATTTTATGGTTATATTTAACATTTTTGCGCTTCTGCAAATACAGTTTATTTGAATGTTTATGAAAATAAATTCACTTTTACAGTACCTTTTGCAAAAAGAAAAACTGGTTGAAACAGTTGAAAATGTTTTATGCCAAAATAGCCTTCAAATTATTAAATATACTTCTTTTTCAAAAAATTGTGTTCTGTATTTTTGATGCCAGTCCAAAGCACTAATAACTTGACGAGTCTGGTTTAATTTTTTTTTTCCTTTATATAATGGTTGATTTTTAGATATTTAAAAAGTTTTTCCCTTTATAATTAATATTTGAGTGAACATATATTACTGGATATATCAATTTCATTGGAAAAACTTCCACTTAAATTATTTTTTTATTGACAAAAAGGGGCAATAAAGCAGTGATATGTTTTTTTTATATATATATATATATATATATATATATATATACACGATTTCATTTAGTTTTTCAATTGTATTTTTATAGTGTAGATTATATATATCTACAATTTTTTTCTATTACAGGTTTTACATAATCTCCATTCAATTGTTGGGTTGAGAGAATGAGTGGCCTATGGAAAAAAAAAACAAATGGGTATTATATTTTAAAATGACTTTGACAAACTATAATATTTTTTAGAGAATAAGCATTTTTTAAAACTATCTTTGTTTCAAAAAGTTAACTTTTTCGATGATGATATTTTCTAAAAGTCAGTAAATATTGTAAAAGCAAGTAAATTCTTCCAATTTTTATTTGTTAGCCAAATTTCCAAAGGTCAAATATCACCCATGTGCTTTGGCTATAAATTGGCTTTTGTTTGTTTTTTTTTTTTGTTTTTTTTTTTTGTTTTTTTTTTAATTTTCAATCAAAAGATGCTGGTGACAGATTCAGTTTGTAAACAAATTTTAACTGAGTTCAGTAAAAATGATATTTCTAAAAATTATAGTCATTTTCATTAAAAATATCAAAATTGATAGTGGTTAAGATTTATAGAGCTGAGCAATAAATGAGTGAAATGGTGAAACAAGCCTGTTACATTCAACCAGATGTACTCTTCCTTAAATATTACTCGAACATGTTTTTATTTGCATTCTTTTTCAAATAAATTATATTCGGCGCTATTACTATTTAGCAGCATGTATTAAAATTCAAAGATAATTATCTTTTTTAATCATTTGACTGTCAATGTCTATTTTTTTCCTAAAATAATCGTTATATTTTTTTTTTCTAAATTTACTTACTTAACTATAACATAATTAACTTAAGAGTGACAGTAGTTTTGTATAAAACTATTTTATTTAAAATCTACCAAGAAAACACTCATATTTAATGCCTTAAGCAATATTAAATTTAGAACACAAAAAGATTAAGATTAGAAATTGTCATTACGAAAAATATACACAAATTCTTGAGTATAAATGACTTCATATTTTAAAATATATAATTCTAGAGAATTTTACATTTTCTCTTGATGTTTTGGAATTCCCTACATAAAGAAAACGGATAAATGCTAGAAAATAAATTAAGTTGCTGTATATGAAGTAATCAATAATAATTTATTGCTTTTATGGAATTTGTTAAATATCATGAGAGAGAAGAAAAATATTGAAAAAATTTAATGACACATTGACAATGTAAAATAGCAAATTCTCTTGGATTATTATTATTTTTTGCTTTATTTTTATGATTAGGTTTTTTATTTAGTCTTTTTTATCACTGTTGCCCATCAAGCAAGCATATTGGCCACTACAACTGTTTCTTTTGAAATTTTCAATGAATGTAATTTATTTTTTCATTCTGAAGAAATTTTGTCTACTTTTTATAGAAAAAAATGATATTTTGGTAAATCTTACGCATTTACATTACCTCCAATTTTTCAATTCTTTAAAAAAAAAAGTCTGTATATGTGCATGTTATATAGACAAAAGGAAAACCTATCTTAGTTGACTTGTTTCATCCTCTGAGGGCCTTTTTAAATGCAAATAATTTTCCTTTTGTCTTTATTCATATTGTCCTTTTTACAGATATACTCTATTATTTTTATATATATATATATATATATATATATATATATATAAAATAAAAAGTGTGAGTGTATTTTATATTTGAGCCTGTATTAGCCTTCTTAATATTAAACTTCTTTTAATGTTAAGATGTAAAGATGTTATTCCTCATGCTTTAACATCATACAAAAAGAATGATCTTTTTTTTTTTCTATATCTAGTTGATAATTTTCTATTGGTACTGATTGACCTTTGTTTGAAAACTGTTGTTTTCTTCTTGGTACTGTTTTGAATTTTTACTGGCCTACTTTTTTTTTTTTTTTTTTTTAATGAATTGTTTGCAAGATTTTTAAGTTACCATTGGTTGAAAGACAAGCCTCATAGATCCATTTTCATCTGAACATATTCATATTTCACTATGTGCCTTTTATTATTGTTATAGTTGTTATTGCTGTTAGGAGGATAACAGTAATAACATACAGAAGGTTATCATAATAATTATTATCATTGTTATTAAAAAAGAGTTATTTTTTGTGCCCATTGATCGCTTATTTTATTCAGAATTCTGTTAAATTATTAGCTCCTGCTTTGTCCATTAAACATTTTTGACATGTCTGATATTTTTCTGTTAGAGAACAAAACTGCTGATCAATATTTCTAACCCAATCAAATATTTTTTATTTTATTTTTTATTTTTTTTTTTTTTTTGAAATTTTTTGTTGATTTTTAGTTTTTATTTGGTTTACTTTATTAATGTGTCACCATTTGTTTCTAGAAAATAATTAACTGATAGGCAATTTCTATAAGTTTGTTACAAGCCTGTTTGGCTTATATGTCAAATTATATTTGGAAATATTTTTTACTTGATATATTTTGTCTAATTTATTATTGATAAAATGAACTGTTACAAATATTCAGTGTCGGCTATATATATATATATATATATATATATATATATATATATATATAAGAAATAGATTTAATGTGTATAGGATGCATATTTTCTTGACAAGTTTTCTTGAATATTCAGGCCGGTAGATGAAGTTGGATAAAAAATACTGTTGAATTAAAAAATTGAGCTTCTACTTGAATATGAGTATCTATAAAAAATAATGTTTAAACAAAATAAATTAAAAATAACGTGTGTGTGTGTGTGTATAAGCTGCATTATATCTATAAAATATTTCATAGGATTAAGCAGTTTTAAAGTTATTTAATCTCAGAAATTTTATCTTTTCATATTTTCTGAAATACCTATTTACCATATATACCTGTAAGTTGCATAGTTGTACATGTAATCAGAAGTTTTTATTGTATTACTTACAGATTGTTTATAAATAAAAATAGATCTAAATTTATTCTGAAAGTAATCAATAAATGCCATACTAAAAGTTGCCGAGGTATTAAAATAAAGTTAATCCACTTTGCCTAACCTCTCTCTCTCTCTCTCTCTCTCTATATATATATATATATATATATATATATATATCCAAGCCTCCTCTTATTAACTATTTGTATTTAATTAGGAATCAGGGTTTCTTTCTTGTTTCTCTTGTCTAACTCTGTTGCTCTTTTTCTACAAGAATAAAAATACATTATAATTTCGATTTGTCTTAATGGTTTCCATATTTAAGAGTTTCATTCACATAAACAACTGATTATTTATGCAAAGAAGATATGAGAAAAATTATTTGAGCACAATCAATAATCTTATTAAAATCTCACTACTTAGCTCACTAAATATATGGTGAACTGTTAAAGATTCTTGTTTCACTTGACTACAATTTTAATTCCTGACTGTATTTTATAAAGGAATCCAGGAATAGGTAGTTATTTTCAAACATATCTTTAAGAAATGGAACAGAGGGAAACAAATCACATGAAGGCCTTACCTTAATGATTATTGAAAACCAGTTTCTAATTCAGATCATGGTCATATTGAAATTCCACAGCTTTGTGGTAAAAAATAAATCATATTTCAGTAACCTTGTTATATTTCACTTGACTCATTAATATGTCATTTAATTTTATTCCAAAGTTAATAGAATTAATAAAATAGGTAATAGATTATACTTTGAATTTTTGTATGGCAATTTTGTTGAATGA